TCGATGACGGAGAGCAAACACTGTAGTCCCTGCTTGTGAGCAGGCTCTTGAGCGACTCTGGAGTGCGAGCTACGCGGCCACAGCTCCTGCACTTGTAAGTGCTGGTGGCCTCGCAGCGAAACAAAACATGGCTGGTGACCGTGACCTTGGGAGGGGCGGGGGCTCTCAGGAGGCGGAGAGGACGCTCGGGGTCGAGGTGAGTCCACGTGCCTGACTCGAGCAAACGCTGAGCAGCCCACGCGATAAACCGCACCGTGGACCTATGATATTTTAACTGTCCTGAAACCGCTGCACAGAAACCTTCAGCAAGCGTGTGAGAGCTGGCCCCTAGTTTGGCGAAAAAATCAGCCCACAGGTTCCCAGCCCAACTTTTGATGCACAGCCCACGCTCCAGAACGTCATCAAAACTCAGATGGGCAGGGAACCACGAGAACTGGGGGTGACTAGACTTCAAGTCAAAAATGGACCTCCAGATCGACGCATGCTTGGACATGCCTTGAGACAGATGCAGGCTCCACGAGTTGCCTTCGCGTACTACAGCCTGGAGGTCCGACACAATACACTGATGCTGGGGGTGATAAGCTAGACCCTGCCGCACTGCCCACCTTTCAGCACGACCTATGGTCTGACGCTCCCCTGGAAGCGCACCATATACTGCCCTCAACGGAAGCAGACAATCGAACAACTGCACAACGCTCCAACCAGCTCTGGAGACCTCTGGGACCCCAGAGTGAAAACAACTGCCGTCAGTGAAAGACAGAGGGCCCCAAGGCCCTGAGACGTCCCCGAACTCGAAAATGGGGGGGTTGGCAAGCGGAGCGGGAATATTAGTGGGCAGAGGTGGGATACCATAAGTTAAATAATTAGAGTGCACATCGGGCTCCCCAGTGATAGAGGCCCGAGACTCAATCAGAACACGCCTATGCTTAGCTAAGGCCTCAGGAACCTCGTCACCCAGCGCGTCAATCCCGTCGTCAGTGATGAACTTAGAACAGGCATACCACACGTGTCCGTACGTACCTTGAGGAGCGGAGCAGGCAAGGCACGCAGGTGGTACGTCATATTGTAGAGCAGAAAGTGCAGCAGGTAGCGGAATAACATTCCCCCAGACGGCCGCCAAGGCCCCAAGAGCCCGCTGGTCTTTTACAGCACGTATACCATTACGTAACGCACGAAACCAAGGCTCTCCTTCTGGAGGGTCAGTATTATAAAGATGCAGCTGCAACCGACGAATCTGCCACCGCTGCACACCTTCAATAATCGCAATACGCACGTCACTTGGACACACCACCAGCAGCGAAATATCTGTACCAAGATCGCTGCGAAAGGTGTGGGCATTGGTCATCGTCCAGCCAATGCGAAGCAGGCTTAGCCACACCGCCGACAGCGGACCTCGAGCCTGCTGCCACGTAGGGTTGTCGGACATGATGTCTCTCAGGCGGGTCCAAGCACGTTGCACTCTCGATAACTGCAACCTTCCGTCCCAGACGAACGTGGCGAACTTCACACACACCAGTAGTGGAGTCGTAGAGCGGGTCGTATTGCGGATCAGCCTGCGTCAGCAGATACGAGGTAATGCCACCGTGCTGCTTGGCCCCTGCGATCGTAGCCGCAAGCTGCCTCAAATACTTCAGCGCAGTGTCTGAGATGCCCGACACTGATCCCCCGTGTCCAGCTGCTGGGAGAGCTCCAGTCCTGCACCGTCGGGTTGCACGCTTGCCAGTAGCATGTTTCAACGCAACGAACTTGTCACGACGACGTTTGAGAGCCTGCAACCTTTTCTTCTCCTGCGTGCGAACAACCCGACCAGCAGCCAATTCATGCCCGAGGTTTCTCATCCACTTGCGAACTGGTAGGCGCAGCCGAGCAGCCATCCTCGAGAACACCTTCCGAGCCACTTTGTTCCCTGCAATGAGCCCCGACTTCTTGACATTGGAGTGGAGCCCCAGGACCTTGGCATCTTCAGTGAACACTTTCACCGCACGTTCCAGGAAGCGGACGTCCCGAGGATCCGAAGTGACGAGCTGAATCGATATGTCGTCGACTAGGGCTCTCGGTGTAATACAGGGCGAAATGTCATTGAGCCTACGCACAGCACGCAGCGTGAGAAGGAAAAGCATGCCTGTCGCATGATTGCACCCTGCAAGGATGCCTTGATGCGAGCAGAACTGCACAGATAGACTGCCGAAAGCTCGAAGACGCCGTGGCTGCCTGTACAGATCCACTAGCATCCAAGCTAGCCGCATTGGAGAGTGCAAAGCTTCAGCTTCTCTCAGCAGCTGCTCCGAATGCACCATCTCGAAACATTTGATCATATCTACGAGGACAGAAATGGAGATATCACCGACCAGCGCCGCCGTCTCGGCAGCGATGTTATGAGCAAAAGCACTGTCTGAGGAGCTGAAACCACGACGAGTCCCCCAAGCAGCGTGGCAATCATTACGCTCCTGCCAGTCGAAGGTGATGGGCTTGCGAACTTTGCCCCAGACACGGCACAGCAAAGAGACGAGCGCGATCAGTCGAGTCCCACCATCTGGTTTGGCGAGACGACACATCTCATTGCAAACTCGCTCCCTGGGCCAAGCCAGGTGCAACTCGCAGAGGTTAAAGAGTTCTGCAATCGCCGAGAAAGCCTGTCTAGGCAGGTGTATTAAGGCTCTTGGGTGAATCCCCATCATGCCTCCAGCAGTGCGAGTGGGGTAAGTGTGAACGGCATCCTCCACCTGAGCGGCCGTGATACGCGGCAGACTGGGCCAGCTGCTGGACCCCCGCGGAACCTCGAGAACCGAACAACCATGGGACAACCAAACCTCCCTCCAGGGATCGAGTTCCGCGTCGGCCTGCTGGTGGGGAGCCTCACGCGCCTGGTTGCTTAAAACCTCTTGGATGGCCTTTACCTTTGAGAACCTGTGAGCCTTCGAGGCGCCAGCAGAGAAAGCATCCCTGGCCCATTGCCTCCAGGCCTGGGACGCTGCATTCTCCGCGCGGGCGATGGCAGACTTCGCCCGAATGTAGATCTTCGTAAGCATACTGGCAACGTCGGGACGTGCAAGGACGGCGAAGCCGCCATTGAAGAAATCACGCACGTCAGAGTCAAGGCAACCAAGCACTTTTTTACAGCGGGCAACGTTGGCCATGAACCGACTGAACTCCTCAAAAGCCGAAAGAAGCTTGCGACATTGGCGAGGCGCAGCAGCACAAGGAGCTTCGTAAACTTGCAACAGCCTGATTTGCTCACTAAGATGTTCTCTGGCCTTGCCAAGGTGTTTGGCCCACCCAAGAGCGACAGCCCAGGCACGTGCCTGTGGATCCTTATAAGTCCTCCTTCTGGGGGGAGTCCAGACAAGCTTTTTGAACTGGACCTCAAGAGGCCCACTGCGGCCCACGTAGGCCTCGGCGGCAACGCCAACACGGTCCCACCTGGCGGCCAGCTCTCTTTCCACCCCTTCGAGGACCAAATCCCAAAAATCAGCAACTTTGGCAACAGAATCTACCTGCGGGGCAGCGGTCGTAAGAACTGCGTGCCACGGATAAATCGGAGGCCTAGCACAGCCGATGGGAGGGGTCGACGGGAAAGCTTTCGGGACCTTGGCAACCCGAGCCCACACGGGCGTCTCCCGAGCCCTCAAAGTCAGCTGGACGGGGAGGTGAGGGCATGTGGTGGCCGCCTCCAAAACGCACGTGCAGGGGTCAAGCTTTGGCGCCAGCCAGCTGCTGCAAATGAAATAATCTATGTGCGTGCCTGGTGAAACCTGCCTGCAAGTGGGCGCCTCAGACACGAAAGCCAGTCCTCCAGCCGCCGCAATCCAGTCGGACTGGTCCAGGGCGGTGAGCGGCATGTTGAAATCGGCACCGATGATCCACGGAATCTGCATGCCGTTGAGCACTGACAGGTACTCGATGATCTCCCACACCAGCTCGGCATTGCACGGTCCGTAACCTTCACCGTCCTTGAGATAAGCCGACAGGAAGACCACTCCTCCAGGCAGAAATGACATGACGTGCGCTGCCACCAGCCTGCCAGGGACAAGTACATGGCTAGCGCGGCCAGGAGGCGCCTTGATGGGAATGTGTGACCTGACCAAAACAGCAACTCCGCCAGTAGTGCCCGACCCTCCATCTTGGTTGGGCACTGCAGGGCCCCAAAGCCCTCTCCAGCCAGTGTCTTCAACTTGCGACTGACGTTCACCCAGCTTGGTATCAGGCACATGATGCTCTTGCGCCAGCACCACATGAGCGGTGCTGTCCACCAGGTAGTCGCACAGTGGACCCAGCGAGCTCGAGTTAAGCGTCACGATCAGAGAGTCGCTTTTGCCCTTCGCCTGCCCAGCAAACTTGACATCAGGTCGACGAACCCCTGGACAGTCGGTACCCTCTGCCACGCGATGCCCAACGGGCGAACGTGGTGAGCAGTGTTTTTTGTTCCATCCAGCCAGAGGCAGAGTTGAACTCTCCGCGCCGTGCGCGGGGCCGGGGAGCAACGGTGCGAGGGTCACTAACGGCGCACCGCCGGGCAGTCCCCACTCGCACCGCGCCCCCCGCTGGGTAGACAAACCCACGCCTGAACGTGGTGAGCAGTGCGTGCTGCCAGGGTCTAAAGGATGTATGCCATCGAGTCGCCCAGTCGAGCCATCAACTCTCGTCGAGCGAGGGGCCGACCACGTCAAAGCGCACGGTGCACATGTGGCGCTCTCTGCCTGCCCCCTGAGGGCAGGTAAGTATAGCGACCGAGACGATGGCGTAGCACCCGTGGTCGCAGTAGCTGCCCTTGCAGAAGACACAGTAGGGGCATTCTGAGCACATGGCCCAGGCAGATCAGGCTGACTGTCCACAGCTTGATCAACTTGAAAGGGGTCAACGTCAGGATCGTCCAGAAGAGAACTCCTGTGAGCTGTGGTCGGCTCTTCTTGGGCAGTAGGCGACGTCATTGCAACAAAAGGATAGCAAAGACAGAACATCACCACAACAAAGCACCCGACCACTTTACGCAGCGGTCGCACCACTGGTCTTGAACTTCTTGGTGAGCATGTGAACTTGGGCCAAGTGACGCTTGAGCTTGTCCCGTAACTCACGCTCCTTTGTATCGTCAATCTCCTCATCATCCCCGCCCACGTCGACGTCGATGCCACATTCTTTGAGATGTTCACGGCAAGTGCGACCGTCCAAGCTATCGACATGAGCATTAGCACGATCCTGATCTTCAGCGTCGTCGATATCCATGGACTCTCGAGCCTCAGGAGGAGTGGACTGAGTTTCGTGCTGAGGCGGCTCGGGCGCGACTGCCGCCTCTGGGGCTTCCTTGAGCTTCTGCACCAGAGCGCGCATGGCGATGAGGTCGGCACTGAAACGCTCCGAGCCGCCCAGCGCGCGGACCACGGCGTCAAACTGCTCCACCGTGGCCTCCATGCCTGGTAAGAATGTGGAGAGGGATGGTGACTTGTCATCGAACTGCACCGCGGGACCGACCACGTGGCGCAACCTCTCCTCGAGCTCCAGGATATGTTTGTTAGCATCATGCTCATCCTGCTCGACCTGCGCCAGGGCCAGCTTGGCCTTCTCCAGCGTAGCTCGAGCAGCCTCTTTTTTGACAGCAATACTGGATAGCTTCGTGCGAGCGGTCTTGAGCTGGCTGGTGAGCCCCTGCAGATTGGCCTCGATCGGTTTATCAGCCTGGAGCTCGGCCTGCAGTCGCTGCTTCTCGGCCTCATACACCGCACGCTGCTCGGCATCTTCAGGCCCCGACAGGATCTTGAGGAGGCTACCAAGCTTGGCGAGACGCTCACGCTTGACCGCCACTCCAGTGCCTTTAGCCCAGGGAGGAATGGCGGGCTCCTTGGACTCCAACTCCGTACCATTGTGACTTCCAACCAGCTTCTGCATGCGCTGCTGCAACTCCTCCAACTGTTTAGCGAGAAGCTTCTCCCGCTTTGTGACCAATTCATGAGAGCGCTGCACTGGAACTTTGGGCGGGGGCACCCCGTGAAAGGCGGAGCCTTTCGGAATGCCGCACTTCCCGCACCACTTCTGATCACCACGGTTGATCCAACTCGTTGCCGTAGGCTCATGCTTGCACCATTTGCAGTACCATGGGCCAGCCTCTGTGCTGCGCGACCTGGGCGCCATGGCAGGTCGGAAGAGCACGCGGCAAGGAGCCACGCGAGGCAAAGCAACAGGGCCGTGGTGGGGCTGGGCCGTGCGGGGCGGACCGCACGGCGCTCTGCCTGGGGCGAACCAGGCGAATGTCGAAAGCTGGCCGCGGACTAGCGGTATCCACTTTGTTCCCAGGGGAAACCAAAACCTTGAGCCAAAATGGCTACGGAGAGGAGGAGGAGGAGGAGGAGGAGGAGGAGGAGGAGGAGGAGGAGGAGGAAGGAGGAGGAGGAGGAAGGAGGAAGGAGGAGGAGGGAGGAGGAGAGAGAGGAGGAGGAGGAGGAGGAGGAGGAGGGGAGGAGGAGGAGGAGGAGGAGGGAGGAGGAGGAGGGGGAGGAGGAGGAGGAGGAGGAGGAGGAGGAGGAGGAGGAGGGGAGCGGAGAGGAGGAGGAGGAGGAGGAAGGAGGAGGAGGAGGAGGAGGGAGGAGGAGGAGGAGGAGGAGGAGGAGGAGAAGAGGAGGCGGAGGAGCAGGAGGAGGAGGAGGGAGGAGGAGAGGAGGAGGAGGAGGAGGAGGAGGAGGAGGAGGGGAGGCGGAGGAGGAGGAGGAGGAGGAGGAGGAAGAGGAGGAGGAGGAGGAGGAGTGCCTGACCCTGCCCCGCGCTATCTGAGCCCTGCAGAGGCCCGGCCCCACCTTCGTCTCTCAACGATGGCCCGGCTGGAGCCAGGACTGGACCTACACGTTGTTCGTGTTTTGCTTTCATTATGTTGTTCCTTTCGCTCTGCCTGTTCTCCTGCACCTCCCTGCCAGAACGAGCAGCAGAACACGGCCGAAGCCCAGCGAAACAGCGGCTGGGTCCAGCCCTGGGCTGGAGTTGCGGTCAAGGAGCTGCGGGGCGAGTTCCGGGTCGCTCGACCCGATGGTCACAACCTCTGTGGGTTGAGGTACGTGACACCCTCTGGCTACTCCTGGATCTTCCTCCGACTCCTCCCTCCTTCTCCTCTCCGTCCCTCCTTTTCACTCGGGATGGAATCAACAGGGATAGTGCCACTACGAAAGCATGGGGACGGGCCAGCCAAGAAGCGCTGAAGGTCGGACAGCAGCAGGGATGAGGGACAAGACGCTGGGACACGACGAGCACTGAGATTATGTAGCTCCCGTTGTACTCAAGGGCCACATCCCAGAAATAATTTCGAGCACACCGAAGAGTATCGAAACCGTGTTGAGCGAGTATCGCTCCCCAGGGCTCGACACGCGAAGACCCTCCAGCTTCGGTGTTCTCTTGATGCTCGAAACTCGTTCTGGTGATAAGGCTAAAGTAGGCTGGACCATCATAACGCTGAGAGATGACATCGGCAAGGCCTGGCCCGTGGTTTCTCCCGACGAGACAGGGCCTGGCCTGTGGCTTCTCCCGACGAGACAGGGCCGAAGCTGCTGGCTTCTGGCTACCTGGCCCTCACCAAAAGCACCAATCTCGCGCTCCCTCTCCCAGCCTCCGCCCCTGGGCGTCGAGGTCGGCTGCGGCCGAGGGCTGAGGGATGGAGGAAACGGGGGGGGGGGGGGGCTAAGGACGGAGGGGGGGAGGAGGGAGGGTGAGGAGGGAGGGAAGAGGGGGATGAGGGAGGGAGGGGGCGGAGCCATCGATCAGGACCGTGAGGAGAAGCAGTTGGGAGGAGAACGACGCAGGGCTGAGCCTAAGCGGTGTTTTTCGTTTTCGATGTGTTGTTCGTTCCTCCTCGTTTTGCCTTCGCTTCGCCCTGAATGCAAAACAAACGAAAACAAACACGGCCCACGAGATTGCTAAAACTCCGTTTAGGTCCAGCCCTGGAGTGACGAATAGCAGGGAAATGTACGAGGGGACGAGAATGACGATGCGCGAGGAGCAGGATCAGGACGAGGAGCAGAAGCAGGAGGCGGGGGCAGGATGAGGAGATTGCGCATAGGAAATTTACTCTGGACTTTCTGGTTTATATCAAGGGGGGTGATTAACCTTCTGACTGAGCCTGCCCAATCCCGCCCCCCTCCACCCTCCTCCCCCTCCTCATCCTCCTCCTTTTCCTCCAACCCCCCCTCCACCCATTCCGACAGCATTTGCCCAACCCCCCCAGCGGATCCAAGGCGGGGTGATTCTTGCCCCATCCAGAGTAGTGCCATTGATTGCACCATTTGAGCTCGCTGCACCATGGCAAACACATGAACGTCCAACCTGGTGAGCCACCACGATCTCGGCGACCAGTCCTCGCCGCAATAACATCGACAGTCCGCGGATCGACCTGGCAAGGCGCGGGCTCCACGAAGATCGGTAGGCATTGAACCGGAAAATTCGGCGGCGAGCGAGGGGGGGAGATGAGAAGGAGAAGGCCTTCTCAGAAGGCTCGGAAGTCCTGGGCCTTCTGAGAAGTTTTCTCGGCCTTCCCCGAGGACACAGAAAACCTCTCAGAAGGCGCGAGGGCCTCTGGGAAGTCCCGCCGCCTTCTGAGAAGGCCCGCCCCTTCTCACTTCCCCCCTCGCCTGCCGCCGATGAACAGGATCGACTCGACATGTGCATCGGATCGGGCCGCATCGGCACGGAATCGAGATCGAATCGGGTCGGCGCTGCGGGAAGAGGCACAACGAGTCACACCGGATCGTCGGCATATCGGCATCGGATCGGATCGGGCCGGCGGGACTCGATATCGAATCGGATGGACCGGATCGAGAGGGACCCCGTCTGTCGACCTCCCAGACATGCCCCAAAGGACATTGCCAGCGACGTCCCGACGCGTACGTTCATCCTCGCCCCCCACCCTGCGCGCGCGTCCACCCGCGAGAGGAGTGGGGCGAACGGCGGGGGAGGGATGGCGCAAGGGCGCGCGCGGAGTGGTAGGGCTAGGTCGGGTGTCCTCCTACGGGCGGATTTTGGAGGATAAAAATAAAAATAGGCAAACCATTTTTCCCGACCTAGGCTCTGCCTAGAAGGGTTCTTACTCGCTTGGCTTAAAGGGGCCAGGCAGTGTTCCTCGCCCCGGGCGGTTCCCCCAGTATCCGCCCCGCGGTTCCCCCAGTTGCGCCCCCTAGCTTTAGCTTTAGCTTTAGCTTTAGATTTAGCTTTAACTTTAGCATTAGCTGTAGCTTTAGCTTTAGCTGAACTGTAGCTTTAGCTTTAGCTTAGCTTTAGCTTTAGCTTTAGCATTAGCTTTAGCTGTAGCTTTAGCTGTAGCTTTAGCTTTAGCTGTAGCTTTAGCTTTAGCTGTACCTTTAGCTGTAGCTTCAGCGGTAGCTTTAGCTTTAGCTTTGGCTTAGCTTTAGCTGTAGCGTAGCTTTAGCTTAGCCTTAGTTACTACTAATGCTCCTTTCCTAGGGGCTCCAACTCCTAGGTAGGGTCGCACTGGGATAATTTGTAAGTAGTCAAAAAGGATTGTCCCCTGCTTATTTTTTGACCAATCTCGAAGATTCCTCCTGTGGAGGGACACGCCCGACATACTGGTAGGGGCGCCGCCCGTGTCCTGTTCCTCCTCCGACGTCGGGGGGCGCCCTCCCGCGGGCACGGGCGGGGGCCGAGGCGGCGACGGACGACGCCCCGCCCTTCGACGCCTTTCACCTCGAGGCGCACGCGGCACTTCAGGCCGGACAGGCGGAACTCGAAGAGGTCGTCCACCTGAGGAGAGCGCAGGTCGGAGGTTGCTGGAGGTGCCCTTGGCCCAGGGTGCCCCCAGCTGTTCGCTCAACTCTGGAACCCCTGAGGCCCTCTGGGCCTCGCGAGGGGTGCTCTGGAGGCCGTGTAGGCCTCCGCGGAAATCCCGGGGGCACCTCGGGTCAGGGGCACCTCTAGCATTAGGTCGGGCATGTCACCCCTGCACGCGGATTTTGGAGGAAACAACAAAACATCAAGAAGTACGCAAATATAACCAAAACAAAACTCAACAAATCGTCCCCAGACTGTTTGTTTGGACTACATTCCTCCGGTATAGGGACGTGCCCGACGTAACTCCAGCAGCACTCGAGCAGGGGCGAGGGGAGGCGGCGCCCAGAGGAGGAGAAGGGGGATGGCACTGCTTGGCCATCGTGAGGACCTCTTCTCAACTTGTTGGGAAGAGCCGGGGACGTTTTAAGATAGTCGAAGATAGCTGGAAAGCGTAGCAACATATGCTCAGTACCGATGCGGGAACAAGGAGCGCCCACAACGGGAGGGAGCGCAGATGCCGTCGCAAGGATCAGTATGTGTGCCATCGTTGAGTGGACGATAGCTTGAAAGCGTAGCAAGCTATGTTCAGCACCGATGCGGGAACAGGAGCGCTCACCTGGCGATCCTTGCGCCTGAGTGACTCAAGGCAACATGGCTACGGGCGGTTCTTGGGCCGTCTTGGGACCCTCTTCTCAGCCTGTTGGGAAGAGCTGAGGACGCTTTCAAGAGCCTGGTGGGCCGTCTCGGTGCTGACTGTGCCCAGGCCTGCACGGGCCTCTTGTTGAGGCCTCTGTGGGTCCTCAGGCGGAGTTCTTGGCTCCCTCTCGGAGGCCCCCTTGGGCGCGTCTTGGAAACCTCTTCGGGTTTGTTTTCAGGGTCCTCTTGGGCTGTCTCCTGGGGGCTTCTTGGGCTGTCTCTTGGGGGCTGTCTCTGGCGACCTGGCAGACGCCTTCGGAGGCCGCAACGGATGCCTCGGCGGGCAATCTTTTTCCTCCCCATCGACATGCCCGCATGACAAGCAATGCGGTGGACAAACGCATGTTCGAAAGAAAGCCTCTGGCATATCGAGCTCCGCTCAGTGCGCGCCTCACGAAATCCAATGTGGAACGCCATCGTCATAGAGTACTATACGCTATACGCCATGAATGTACCGCCGAGAGATGTTCGTGACAAAACCCAAACCATGTCCAATGCAACCCACGTCCGTGTATCGGGGAATCGTGCACAATAACGCAAAAAAACAAATCACGACGTTCAGCACCACCGCGGTAATCATGCCGCGAACGACGCCGCGCTTGAAGTAGACCCAGGTGGCACAAACATGCCACAAAAGGCCTTCAGAGGGCCCAACTGAGCCTCAAGAGGGCCTTACAGTACCCCACATATGGCTGAGCCGCCGGTCTTTCGGTCGCATTTCGGGCTGTCAGGGGCAATTCGTTAGTTACCCAGGCGCCTGGAAAACTCTGGGCAAGACGCAGCTGACGGCGTGCAATCCTGGGGAAAAATTTTCTTGCAATGCATGTGGATGTCGGTGGACACGCTCCGTCACGTTTTTGAACACCTCTGCCTCCAAATACAATGGAGGCCAGTCCACAAGAAACCTTCCACAAGAAAACCAACCCTGAGACCACAG